AAAGGAAATTAGTCCTGGCCTCATCAGATTTAATGAAGAAACAACCCCCAAGTGCAGTGAGCCATGCTAGCCACTCCGCTGCGGTTGTGCTCAAACTATGGAATGAGTCTGTGTTTAGCATTGGGTCTTGTCCTTGAGCAAATCCCATGAGTATCTCCTTGTCCTTGGAGGGTGGAAGGACTGCTTACACACCTGGGTGTTTACAATCTTAAACGGTTAGTAACAGCTGTACTGCTTATCTCCATGCCCAAGTACAGACTTTCACTTCAAGTCCCTTTGTCAAAAATCTTTTATGCTTGCTTCCTCTCCTTTTCTCATACTTGCATGGATTTCTCGAGGCAGTTGGTGTGCTGATCCCTTGGATCCAGTTTTCATCAGCTGTCAAGGTAAATTTGGGTAATACTGCAGGAATAATTTATTCAGATTTAGACAGAAGAGGGAATAGTGGTAGACAAGCAAGAGCATTCCTCTCTGTCTCTCTAATCTGTTTGGTGTGTCTCTAGATGCACTAACTTTTCAATAGTTATACTTTCTTGATTTTGGGGTTTTTTTTTAATGAAAATGTCCAAGCCAGGCAGAGAAATTTTTAAAAGTTTTTAGCAGAAGCATACACACACGTATATAAAAAGTATTTTTTAATATATCTATAAATAACAATTAAATCCATTGATCTTATTTAATAATTGCCAGATTTTTTATATTCTGTTTGCACATGTGGGCAGCCAAAGGCAGGGATTTGATGTTTTACACTGATCTAATCCATGCTGAGCTTAATTGTCTCTAATATACAGGTTAAATTGGTTTTCGTTATATGCCATAAGCTGTCAAAAGTATTACATCGTTGTCAATATCTAAAAAGCGAATGCTTATCTTAAGTTGTATGTGACTAAGGAGAGTCATTTAATGTAAGAAATTTCTCATATAGAAAATTTTCCTGGATTTTAAAACTGGGAAGGATAATTATGATGGACTTAGCAACAGGAAGCAGGCCAAGACATTTCTTCCAGGACTTCTTTAACCCTGGACGTACAGCAATGACATGAGGGTGTTTTCGTGTTTCACTTAACCCACCTGCACTGGACCTCCCAAGTGCCACCTTTTTCACAGAATGGTAGGGGTTGGAAGGGACCTCTGGAGATCATCTAGTCCAACCCCCCTTCCAAAGCAGGGTCACCTAGAGTGGGTTACACAGGACCACGTCCAGGCAGAGAAGGAGACTTCACAACCCCTCTGGGCAACCTGTCCCACTTTGTCACCCTCAAAGTAAAGACGTTCTTCCTCGTGTTTGCCACTGATAAGTCTGGCCCCATCCTCTTGACACCTACCCTTAAGATATTTGTAAGCATTTAGAAGGTCCCCTCTCAGCCTACTCTTCTTCAGCCTAAACAAGTCCAGCTCCCTCAACCTTTCCTCATAGATCATCTTCATAGCCCTTCACTGAACTCTCTCCTGTAGTTCCTCATCTTTCTTGAACTGGGGAGCCCAGAACTGAACACAGTACTCCAGATGGGGCCTCACCAGGGCAGAGAAGAGGGGGAGGAGAACCTCCCTTGGCCTGCTGGCCACACTCTTAAGAGACCCCAGGAGAACATTTGCCTAACTGGCAGCAAGGGCGCACTGCTGGGTCATGGGTAACTTTTTCCTCAAACCTTTCACTTCCATGTATCTCTGGTCCCATGGAGCTCCTTGCCATGGGATACTGTGGATCACTGTTGGGAAGATGTCTGTGTTGGGTGGGAAGGCTGCTGGTTTGAGCATGCATATTTTCAGTTTTTCCATCATTGAGGTACAGCGTGTCTTCAAGTTGCTTGTACTGTGCGAGAGAGAATAAATTGGCAGCAGCAGCATTAGTGTGATGTAAAATAAACAGATGGATACAAAAGGAATTGCATTATGTGAATTCTGACTGAGCAGAGAAGTTAAGACAAGTAGAAGTCAGGGCTGGCCTGTATAAAAATCTTGCAATCAGGTGGAAAGGATGTATTAACAGAGGAAGCTGATGGTGAGACAGGTGGTGATTTACCTAGATATGCGTGAGATAATGCAAATAGGAAAATTCTAAGCAAGGTCAAAAGGCAAAGCTTTGCAAAGATATGCTCCTGCCATTTCGTAGCAGTTAGTAAAGCTTTGGGAGAATTATTTGGGGGTCAGCTTGGAGTTGGTTTTTGGTTTTAATTTTTTTGTTTTATTTTGTTTTCTCTTGGTTGAACTGTGGCATTGAAAATATCTTAGTATGTGTTGAATTGTGGACCTAAAATGAGATAACTACATTCAGATTCAAGTTTTTAATGAAGATTTTCATTTATTCAGGCATTTGGAGTTGGGTAGTGAGGTTTTTTTTATGGAAGCTGGTTTTCCTTCATGTTAGGAAAGGCAAAAATAAAGAAATAAGCTTCAAAGCAGAGGGTAAGAAGGTTGTGATATGGAAATTCAGTCCCTAGTCTAAGAAGAGGCACTGGGGACTTTCATTCACCACATGGGTGGGTTTCAGCTTGGCAGGAACCACCTCTTCCCCGTAATTCCAGTCCAAATCCAACACAAACTCCTGGGTAACTGGAGGACAGTTATCAAGAGGAGGGGTATGGCAGAGGACCGAACAGGTCGGGGTGACTTACCCTGTGGAAACACCCGTCTCGCCACGCTTAACGTTTTGCTGCCATCCTGTGCAGAAGCTCACCAGTCCAACAAGCCGGCAGCTTTCATCATGGTCTCCACACAGGGCAGGAATGGCAAGTCTGGGAGGTGTCACCTTTTTGTCTTCATGCACCACTTGAAGGGACTGGCAGGCTTTGCCGAGGAGCTGACATTGCTGATGGTCCTGACATTTTGTGGATTAGGAATCAGAGCTGTTGCATCCTTATCTTTGGGGGGGGGGGGGG